ATGAGTTGGCACATTAATTCATTGGTGGATTGGAATTCACAAAATCTTTATCCACCAATGAATTAATGTGCCAACTCATCGGTGCTTAGGATAAGATAAGCACCGGTGCTCATTAGATCATTTCTGTATATATATATATATATATATAACGGTTTATTTATAAATGTAATAATTGTTGAGTTGCAAATAAAAAGATGTGCTAATATTCATAAGAGACTAACGAACTATCCAACCCAAATAATCCAGTACAACATAAGCAAGGTGGCACATTAACAAATAGGATCATGCATAGGAAATGGTTAATGAGTTATTCACACCACCGCCGCCACCGCCAGGTACCGGGAACACGCCACCTCCACCTCCACCTCCGGGTACTGGGAACACCTCACCACCACAATCATCCTCACTACCACCATTGATGCCATCTTGTGCAAATGCTGAGCTTAACACAAGGAAAATCCCAATTAACAAGACTGTTACTTTTACAAGACTCACATTTTAAAACAACTTTTATATATCTTCTTAGTCTAAAATGTTACTTTTCAGGTTTTAGGTTGCATATTTTTTCCTTCTTTATATAGGTTATTAATTGAAAATGTTTTAGACCAATAAATAATCAAATTAAGCATTTACAATAATCCACGCCTTTGATGTCACGCTTATAATTTCAAATAAAGTTTTAATTTATCATTTTAATGGCCATTATTTGGGAATAATAAGCGTTTGATTATCTTATATTTTAATTCATTTATTTATTGTTGAATTATATTCATTATCCCATCCATCTTTTTTTCTGTTTTTTATTTTATTTATTTTTGATACCAACTTTGGTGTCACAGTCGAGCATGAAAGCAAGGAGAAATCACTCGAGCAACGAGTGGCCAATTCCATGAGGAAAAAGTCCGTAATGGCTTATATGTCTAAATCGGGAGTTTATGGACTCTCTAGATATCATTCATTCTATTCTGATTCCACTTCTTACTTCTTGAGCCTTTGACTAGTTAAAAGCGTTAAAACTCTCCTCTCGAGTAGAGGTGGCTTTAGTCCATCTCAACAAGGGAGAAAAAAACTTTCTTGGCTTGATTCGACTCGCATGGAAGAGTTATGCCCAGCGCACAAAGGATTCGTTGGGACTTTGTCTCGGTAGAGAACTGTACGATCTTTTCCCCTATTGTATTTAATCAAATATAAAAAGGGTCAGCACTATGGTCCCCTACTGTTTGATCCAATATTGATCGGAGAAGATCCCCAACTTTCATAGATCCTATGGCCAAGGTGGTTCATGAGGAGTTGGGTATTATAAAGATGTGAATAAACAAGGATTATGCCTCCCTCGTTGCACTTCGACTACAAATCCATTAAGTATGAAGGTGCTGGAGTAAAGGCAAAAGATACAACTATTTTCCAGACTACTTTTGCAGAGATTGTTTGCTTGGTAGCTGCAATTTGATTATTTGAACAAGAGGAAGTTAAAAAGACAATTATGAAAATAGCATCTTCTGCAGCATTTTGATATATCAGTACCATACTAAGAATGCCATTAATCTCCTAGAAATTACTATTGATGTGAAATTTTATCTCTTTAGAATCGTGTCAATGGAAGACAGGACATCCTTTAACTTGTACGCCGGCTGCGGTGGGGCAACTGGCCAACGGGCAGTGATCGGACACCGCTAAACCCCACCATTGCACGCCATTGATGTCATTCGCTTGCAACGCAAAATAACAGAGTGTCGCCATGAATGCAACTCCAGCATCTAATCCTGCAGACAGTATGTAATTGTGCCTTGCCCACCACCCCTTAAACCTCGTATACACGTACAAGTTGAAGAAAAGTCCCACAGCAAACCAACACATATAGTTAACAGCCTTGGCTACTGGCATACCAGTTGAACCTGATATAATTATCGGCATATTGATTAGTCTTATCCACTTCTTCTCTGGATATTTGCGTGAAAAGTACCAGACTGGCACCGGTGCAAGAATTCCGATGAGGAAGAAGTAGTTCATCGCAGGGTATAGCCCGAGTCTACCAAACATGCGTAAGGGACCAACCACGCCCCATATTATGGAAGCATTGTAGAAAACATCGTCTCCAGGGCACGTCCAGGGGCTGCCTTCGGGCAATTTGGATGGATTGCATATGTTCTCGACAGTGGTCAAGAGCCACCAGGCTGTGCCAAAATAAGCTGATGAAGCAATTATTGTTCCCACTAGCTGCATTTAAGGTAAATTTTATCAGATTTTCGTATTATATAACAAACTTGGTTAGATGGATGAACTTTTGTGTGTATTGATTACAACTTACCTGAACCAAGAACATGGACTTTGGAGGGATTTTCATATAATGGCCTAGCTTGAAATCTGAAAGGAACATAATAGCCTGTGACATGCTTATGTAGCCATAGGTTTTGAAGGCGACATTGGCCAGAGGTTTTCCAGGATACAAGTAGCCAATAATCATCTCGGTGATGACATTTAGTCCTGGTTGCTGTATACAGTTATCTGAATGTTACACGATCTTAGTAGGGAGCAAAAGGACGAATATGAAAAAGAGCGTTAATAACGTACCTGGTTCGTGGTGGCTGTAATGACACCAATTGGCAGGGTGAAAATTAGAGCCATACAAATAGCTAATAAGAGTCCCCAGTAAGGAAGCTGTAATTGTCTGCCAAAACCTTCACAAGTAAACAATGCTAGCCCGATTACCAAAAGCAGAAGCAAATGAAACCACCACTGAGGAACAGGGTCATAGTTTTTCTTCATCAACCTAGTGTGAACATCGTCAAATTTGTCTTGAAATGATGCCTTAGTTTGCTCCCAAATTGTTCTGCAAATTACGGGTCAGCAGAAATATGAATGAAACGCACGAGTCATCTGTTCATGAAGAGGATGAAGCAATGGAAGTTACCTTCCATGAAAGAGTGCAACATGTGATATAGTGGCAGCCAATGTCGCGAAGCTTAAACCGTAGACTAATGCAAAAAAGATGCTTAAATGAACCTTGCTGTAACTATCATATCCCTGTTGATTGAATTCAAATGTTTTCTCAATAAGAACTGCTGAAGTGTTGTAAGGATTTCCATTAGCATCAAACACGTGTGAAGAGATTATTGGAAATCGCTTAGCATCGTAGAAATTGTTCCAATAGGCAATTGGTAACACAACATAGACAACTAGAATGAACCCAACCAAAATATTGACAATGGCAAATCCTGGAGTTGCCAAGGGACTGCCCAGAAAACCTGCAACGGTGGACCAATCAAGCGCGAAAGAGCCAAGTCCAATGCCATGAAGTCCGGAGCCTATCTGCTGGGCTGTGACCGAGTCTTTCCATATCCAGCAGACAAAGGAGAGGGCAGTTATGGATGGAAATAGATAGTTGGGGATAATGTAATATGAGAAGCTCGAAACGAGGACTACAATGAAGAATTGCAGCCTTGTTAATCCTCCTTTCTGTCGAATTTCAACCTCGTGCAGCGCACGAAAAAGAGAAACTTGAACCAGATTGGAAGGCCACCACATGTATGGTGAATCAACAAGAAACTTGCGGAAAATTCCTGCCCAGCCATATCCAAGCATCTAATGACATGTTTGTAAGGTGAATTAGACAAAAGCTTAACAATATTGAAATCGAGGCTAAAATATTGTCTATTGTACTATTTAGTATGGTCTAATATTGCGTACCAATCATATAAAAAACCTTCAGAAATCAAGAACAAAGAGGAGGGAGGGGGGCATACGTATGATCAAGCAAAATATACAGAAGGAAGTTTGATTTCTAAACAGAGTAACATTCACCTGAGTACTTTGTGCTAACAAAATTGCTGCAAGAGGGTTAAGTCTACGATGATAAAACGCCTTGACAATTGTTACAATGCCCACTGCATAAACAGAATTTGAGCCCGAATTGGCGAATATAGTAATAAGAACATGCTCTTTTAAGTTGAATGGTCCGGGATTCAATGAAAACGACCAATTCGTTGCAGGGATACGTAGAACTTTCTTTGGCAGAGATGCTGCCATGAGCTTTCCAATAGGAAGTACTACAATTTGAGCTGAAACTGAGGATACATACAGAGCATTTTGTCGATAACCAAAGAATTGGTTCAACACAGACAAAGTAACACATGATATTATCCCCAAAACCCATGTCCTAAATGTCAAACATGGCAATGTTGGATCATCTGTTATCGGTACAGTTAGACGGACTTCCTCAATTGGAGAATCATTTATCTCATCTGCAAAATATCGATACAAATATACTTAAAAACTGCAAACATTCGAGAAAAAAAATCTTCGACTGAAAAAGCTAGACACTGGGATTATGTTCTTACCAGCAGGAGTTTCAGAAACAGGTGTCTCAGGCTCATACGACATAGATATACCGGTACTCTCTGTAAACTCCATCTGATAACAAGAACTGAAATTTAGGAAAACCAGTAATAAAATGAGACAAGAACCTTAAACTATGGAATCCTAGATTAGAATCTGTATCTTTTCTGTTGTTTCCATCTTCAAACAATCATCACCTTGTGCTTCGCTTGTATTTTGTGTTTGAAATGTAACGGAAATATTAAAAGATTGGTGTGAATATAATAAGGCGGTAAGAAGAAAATGTTGAAGTCTCTTTCTTTTCTGATGAAGTCACACTTTGGCTAGCTAACACCAATCTTTGCACGTACGTTCTTCCCAGTTTTCACTAGAGGAGAATTTACTTTCTTTGTCGGTTACTTGTGTCTTCGTGTATATTACTTCTCTTAAGACTCATAACTCAGTCCATTTAGTAATTTAACATATTTTTCTTGCTTAGGCTATATAGACCCGGTTTGATCTGGATTTTCTCTCCAAAATATCGAAGATAAATAATGGCAAGTTGGATTAATCTCTCTACTATTCCATCAAGTCCACATGCCAAATTTAGCACAAAAATGTGAGCATGGCCATTCCCAATTGTGTAGGTTAGGGCTCATGGATTGATAGGTAAATTGGTAATTCATTCTTCAAAATCATGGGCAAAATTGGAAATGGAAACCAGCCACCCGAGCAAGGGTAGAAAACCGCTGGAAAGGGTACTTCATATGAACCGCCATGGATCCACATGGATGGTGGGAGGTACTTCTGATATGTTAGACCGTTTCTTGGAATTATCATTTTTTTATGATCGTATTAATCTACACCAAACAGACGCCTAATCTACGTTACGAGATGTGGAGAGAACAAGACATCTTCAGTGGCACTGGCTACTAATTAAAGAGTGATAGATGAAAACAAGATGTAATATATGTTATTTACAGAGTGACAATATGTTTCTTGGTTTTTAATCAAAAAGAGTGTGGTCCAATTAAAATGAAATTAATTTCATCTAGAGTATAACTTGCAAATAAAAGAGTGGTAGATACAAAAATAGTAATATTGTGGTCCATCCATGAATGCGTATGCATGCATCTTTTCCCAAAAGACGACAACTAATGTAGAGTTAAATAGTTGTTTTTCAAAATTATTCCCTACTTTTTTTGCCATGCACTTGGTAGATAAATTAAGGAAAAAAGGACGTAAGTGACACAACGAGTCTATTGTTCGATCTTAAGAGGACGAGTTAGAAAGAAAGGTAGATCAAATGGACATGAACATATTTGAAAATAAGAAGATACATGTACCAAAATTTAAAATGAAGCATTGGAGCATGTTTGGCTATACTTAAAATGATTAAAAATATTTTTTATTGATAGAAATGAAAAGTTAATAAGTTACTTAATTTGACATTAAATTAAGATATACTTTCACTTTTTTTATTTGAAAATACGAAGACCTTACATTATTTAATTATAATTGAAGATAAAAAAAAATTAAAGAAATCACCAATTTCGGCGCTAAAAGCTATTGGTGGTGGATGATATCTACATCAAGATGAAGAGATTAGGGCTTGACAAAACTCTCGAACTAAATCGAAGCTAATCGAATCCGAACCGAATCGAGCGGTTCTTCTTAAATTAAATACCCAAACGGATATCTGAATCGAGTACGGACAGGTTCGGTTCGGTTTTCAGTTCTAGATCAAGATCCAAAAAATCAAATCTCCCTATTTTTTTTAATTTTTTTTATCTATTTACTATTCCATAATAAATTCTTTCAAAATAATGTGGCTCAAACACACCCTAAATTTGTATTTATGGATGGCAAAGTCAGAAAGGGAGAGGCATTACTGAATCACTGTTTATTTTGCAGGACACACCACACATGCATGCACTGTGCACCATATTATTTGAAATTCGAACCCCACTTGGAGTACAGATTAGGCGTTGAATATGTAACCACAGAATGTTGTAATTACAAAATAAAAATATTTAGCGCTGGTTTGGGAAATATTGAAAATGTTGTTAAGAAAAAATTGAGGTGAAAATCAATAATTAGTTTTAAACGCTAATTTAATGGGACTCACAACTTTTATCGATTTTTCAATTATAAATTTGATCGACGTTTTTCAAACAATCCTTAATACACTACATGATTAGTTTTACGAACTACGTTATAATTTTTTCGCCCAAAAGCATTTCATCAATAATTTTACTGTTTTGTTGATAATGGATTCTTCGTTCACATTTGTCAAAACACTCTTTTTCAGCAATCCATAAAATTAAATTAATAGAAATTCCAAAACTCAAATTGTATTTTCAATTGAAAGAATAATAAAAAGAGGTCCCGAGTGCTTGGGCTCTCTGGGAAAAGTTGGTGGAAAATACAAAAGCATAAAAACAAAATAATGGGTGGACAAATCCTCCGAAAATGCCGTATAGAGATTCAATCATTTCTTTGTTATGATTGAAGTGGACGTGCATCTGCCAACTTGGTTTTGAGGTCCATCTCTTTTTGTCGTTTTTTAGTTGGTCAATGGGCACAAATGTCTAATAGCTTTTACTTACTTCCTTAATCCTCATTGGAGTTAATTAAATCAATGAACACTTAATTTTATACTGAATTACTATTTGCTAACTGGGAAAAAAAAAAAAATACTAACTGTTTACTCATTTATTCAAACATTTACACATTCACCACTATCTCAAATCTATTACCTTCAATTGACAGAAACTTTATGATAATTAGCATACATAAACGTGAATAATGAACTAAATTCGTGAATGTAAAATTCTAATTAATATTAATTAAATGAATATGAATGTTAATGTTAATTAATTGAGAATTAATAATAGGGATATGGACGTGAATGTGAAATTCTAATTAATATTAATTAAATGAATGTGAATGTTAATTAACTAAGAATTAATAACAGGTAACACATGCATGAATCAGGATTTCAAAGTATTTAATAAAATTTGTAAATTAAATATATATTGAAAAATGGAAAGTAATGTATTATTTAAATAATTGAATTGTGATAGGGATATAATCGTCCAAAAATAATTCTCACTCGATGTGATATTTAATATATTATAGATGTCCACTCAACCACAAAAATGTGCTTAAAAAGCGTATATTATAAATAGTGCGAGTGTGTAAATCCAAAAAAATCTTATCCGATGTTGGGCCCATTTAGTTTTCTGCTTTTGGTTAGCTGTTTAATGAAGTTATTTTAGGTCATTTATTCTAAAAATTCTTTTAATCAAATAAATCACTTTTATACATTTATTAACCAAGTTTTTAAAAATATTATATCAAAAGTAATTTTCGACTTTTCAAGAGTCATGTCAAACTGGCCACTATAACGTGAATGAATTGATTATATTTTGTTATATAATTAAGTTTGGAAAATTATTATAATGTTAAGGAGATTAGATTTCATTACGTAATTTTATATATATATATAATATTGGCGAAAAAGGACATCTGGTCTAGAAAAAGAAAATTGGACAAAAAGAGAGGTGGGTATTGGACAATGCAATGGTGATATAGTGCATTTAATGGATAGTAACGGGTTAGGTATTATCCCACAATGAATAATATTTTGGACAACACTATATTTAATGAGGAGATGTGCTACATGTACACATTTATGTACTTCTAGCATTTTTCTTTAATGAGATAGACAAATATTTAAATTTATTTTTGTCGACCTTCAAATTTGCCTTACAAGAATGACATTATCTTTGAAAGTCAGTAAGTACGAGTATTTGTATCAAAAGAGAAAGGGTATTTTGAATGCTTGACACTAGATCTTATCTAAATGGCTCATTGGTTAAACAACTTAAACTCAACTGTGTCAATTGCTAACTGTCATAGGCTTGTGGCCGTTTGACCAAAAGCTAAAAATCAGCCACTTGACACGTGGCTGTCATAGGATTGCAAACAGTTAAGTTGATTGAGCACGAATGTCAAATCTGTCAGACGTATGGTGTATTTTGGTCGAATCGAGGTCTCTGAAAGATATCCATAATAGGCGATGTCAATCAACTCAAAAATGCACTGCAACAGGATTTGACGCCTCGACTCAAAAGTAATCACTTCGGACGAGATGTCTAAGGACTTCGTCCAATTGCCTCATAGGGCATATGCGAAGGGGTGAGAAGAAGAGGAGCGCAGACCTTGCGCGACCTCTCACTTTACTTTTTGCTTCTCGTATATTGAGAAGCACCGATTTTCTTAATACAGAATCTAGCACTCCCAAGTTGCAAGATTGAGATGCAGTGTATCGCACCCAAATTGCAAAATAGGCACATGTTTGGTACACGTTATTTTTTTCAGTCTCATTTTCTATTCATTTTCAACCACACATTTTTCAATAAAATAATATTTTCTATCACATCAATAACTTTTCTTTTCTTTTCAACCACACATTCTCCATCAATTTACTATTCCATAATAAATTCTTTCAAAATAATGTGGCTCAAACACACCCTAAATTTGTATTTATGGATGGCAAAGTCAGAAAGGGAGAGGCATTACTGAATCACTGTTTATTTTGCAGGACACACCACACATGCATGCACTGTGCACCATATTATTTGAAATTCGAACCCCACTTGGAGTACAGATTTTTTTTTACAAGGATTGTGCAGACAACACATATGGTAAGGTCCGCACATTTTTTTTTTTTTTATACATGTGGGGCTGCCACCTTGTGACGGGCCTGTAAGGACCCTGTGAATAAATCCCATGTACACATGCATGCACTGTGCACCATATTATTTGAAATTTGAACCCCACTTGGAGTACAGATTTTTTTTTACAAGTATTGTGCAGACAACACACATGGTGAGGTCTGCACATTTTATTTTTTTTTATACATGTGGGGCTGCCACCTTGTGAGGGGCCTGTAAGGACCCTATGAATAAATCCCATGTACATAGGGATTTATTCTTGAAATTTTGCATGCCAACAAAAACTTTCGTTGCTTTTGGACTGGAGAATACTACAAAGCAGTAGTCAGTTATGAGCACATCAAGAATCTCCGT